CTAAAAATACAAGTTTAACACTTCACTGCACTCACAAAAACAGGGGGGAAAACATGTTGTTCACAAGGTCACGCAGTGTGGAGGAAAAACAACAATCCAGTCAAACAACCAACAGGGAGATTTCACCCAATTCTGTCAGTCCCCACAACTTTGGGTTTTCAGTACCGATTTCTTCACGTTGACTCTGGATCGTCTACCAGCAGAAGTCTGGCTATTCGCTGCCGCCAGGCCGCTCATCATCATCGGGCGAATTTTTGTCAACCAGCGGGATCAGAGCTCTGGTTCCTCCACGGTCTGAGTCCACTGCTGCCCACACAACCGGACCCACTCGGCGGCGTCCATCCGTCCGGGAGCCGCGATGCCTCGCTCACATCGCGGCCTTCCGTCCCCCAAAACTCGGTCCCTTCTTCCCCAGACAAACGCCCCCGATTCTCCGACAGCCCAGAGGTTAAAAACAGATAGAGTTCTGTTCGACGGACTCAGATGTCCAGTCCCCGGCTAAATAAGTCAGACTGCAGCATGAGTCAGACATACAGTGACACCCAGATAGAGTTACAACGACCAAACGCCCCCCCACCACACACACACATCATCCAAAAGCAACCCCACCCTCTTCAAAACATGAGCAGGGGGGATCATGGGACACAAACCTATAAAAAGACTGAAAGACAGCGGGGCCTTTGGTCCACATGGTGAATGTTTCCTGCTCATAAGTGTCAGTTCAGACCCCCTTTAATAAAACTTTGATTCATCCACAAAGAATGTTTTCTCTCTATCCAGAAAATATGCACACGGTGAAACGTCAAACTTATTGTCCGGAAGAAAGAAAAAAAAAAACAGCAAATCCTCTCAGAGGACCTTTGCCACACTAGTGATTTGGATCAATGGACTGAAGGGGGTCAGCTGGTCCACACGCAACTGGGACAGGGCGAAAATAACTCCTTGTTAGAGAGTTACCCCTTTTATTTTGTTTTGTAAAAAGAAGAGGCAGCCTGCTGGTGATCTGATCCGATCCCCAGCCGCCTCACATGTGGAAATGTCCTGAGAAAGACACTTAAACCCCCCAGTCGCCTCCTTCAGCAGGCGAGCCCCCTTTGCATGGCAGTTACGCCACCACTGGGGTGTTAGTGTGTGTGTGTGTGTGTGTTAGTGTGTGTGAATGGGGGAATGGGAAACACATGTAAAATGCCGAGAAGAACCTGGCTAAGGTTACAAAGCACTACACGGGTGCTGAACATCCATTATTTATCACCAAAGCTGCTCCAGACATTTATGTCCAGGATGGAATTTAATCACTTTGGTGATTTGCTGAGTTATCATTTTGCCCACCCCCTCCATAAAGATGCGATCTGAGTTACGATCGGACAGGCGTCTGCGGAGGGGAAAGCGTTTTCTCATCAGCTAAAGCTGTTTTTGGGATAATTAGCAATCCGCTCGATCGATGATAAACTACCCGATTCAAACCGGTGGGGATGAAACGCACCTAAAAAGAGCCGAGAGCTGCTTTAGCCCCTCGCTAAGGCTAAATCCGGCTGAGTCTCGGCCTGTGTGGACACCCCCACCAGTCCGATCTCCGTCTGGAAAAGTGCAAAACCGGGGAAACTGTAGCCAGAGAAAAGCAGCCGTGTCTGACATAGTACAGAGGAACTTAGGCAGAAGGAGGTGGGTTTGGTGGCGTGCATGTGTGAGTGTGCTTGAGGAGAGTGCTGGGGGATGGGGTGTCTGTATAATGAGGTCAGGAGGGGTCTGCTCCTCACAAAGGAGGCGAAGGGGGTTCGAGCGGGTTTAAACTGTGTCAGGAGCGAAGACGAAGCCGTGCAGGCTTGGTGATGTTACTCTGGGCTTTGTGCACTAGTTTGGGGCAGATACAGTCGA